GAAGGAAACTGGAACCACCTTAAATTTCGTAAGCAAACGAGAAAATTAAAAAAGTCTCTTTATTTCCTATTTGTCAACAGCAGCCAATGTCCGATGAACATGATGGGAGACTCCCTTTCGTGGAAGGTCAGTTTTCTTTCTTGTGTTAATAAGATTGATTTCTTTTTTTTTTTTTCAACTTGATTAACCCTACCCTTAAACATCCTTGCGAACAATAATATGCTTATGTCCGTCTCTAAGTGTGTACATTTGTATATCTAAATTAGATGAGCTGCCGGAAATGTTACCTGCCTTACCTTGCAACATACAGAGATCCCTTCAGCGGGTTAACCAACCGGAAGTTGAAGTAGCCAATGAAAGTGCCGGAAGGCTCCTTCCTTTTTCACATGGTAAGTTTCTGTCGTATTTCTTGGTTTTTTTTCCTTTTAATTTAGCTGTTTCTGTCCCAAGGGATTCCTTTACACTTGAAAGTCTGTGATTTTCAACCATTCATTCTGTTGTTTGCTCTCTCTTGATTCTCCAGATTTTTTCTGTTCTTTTTTTTTTGTGTGTGTGCATTTTAAATCCACAGGTCATAGTGACACTTCCCTTGTCTTGCCTGTCGACGTTCTTGGAATCCTTCGATCAAAGACCAACAATCCGAAAGAAGTAGTAGATAAATTAATAGAGAATCTGCAGCTGGAGCACACGTCACTGGAACAGCCAGAGCCTGAGACCAGGAAATGGATCCGGTGCCTGGCAAGAAATGCAAAGTATTCAAACAGGCGGGATGTGGTTGAACACTTGAGACAGATTACACCTCCAGGAACCATGGGTAGGTGTGACACTGGCATTGCAAATGATGATGATGACGATTGACAATTGATGGCGGTTGACAATTCTTTTTGGTGTTCTTCTCCGATAGCTTTTGTTTTCTAAATATTTATGTGCCATGCTCATGTCCTTTCTTATGGCCTTGGGTTTGAGGTTGGAGTGGATCTTATTCTTAAGATTGTGCTTTCAAACTTTTGTCAAAAGTGGAGTCATTCTTTGGTGTTGTTTTGTTTTTGTTTCCTGTCTTCTAGCGGAAGAAAATGTCCTCGACTTGAGTGAATTAATGCGATGTGAACCGTTTGTCAAAAATAAAACATGAAAGGAAGACAGTCGATTTCCAAGATTTTGTTTTAAAATATGGTCCTGGGACAAATAGATTTTTGGCAAGTTCCAAGGAATGACAGAGCAATTGCGTCAAGACTGATATTTAATGTTGCAAAATAATAAGCTTGATTTAAGTTACCATGATTAAAGGTTTTGTAACTAAATAGCGCACATGGAAAGCTAGAGAATAATTAAAACCCATATTGCATCATCGAAAATGTTTTCGCGCGGCTTATTAATCATTATCATATGACCCGTACGGCCCCTCGCGCAATGTCCTTGCAAAACCAGAAGAAAAAAGGTCCCGTATGAGGGCCGTACGCGTCGAAGTGATAGGGCCGGAAAAACGCGTACGGCCTTACTAGAAAGGCGTGCGGCAAAATCGATGCGAGTTAATGACAAAAACAATTTTGCTGCTGCAAAATTTTGTTTTCTTCAAAATGAGTGATGAAAGTGAACATTCTGAAAGCGAATTTTACTATCCAGGCGAACTGTCCGATACAGAACTGCTTCATTCGCCAACCCACTCCGAAAGCACAGAAACAAAGTCAACACTCCTCAAAAATGAAGAGGTTTCTAAGAAGCCAACAACAAGCAAACAGGCAGTTAGGAAGACAACTTTTCCGAATGAAATGTCCGATAATTAATCTTTGGAATAAGCAAACAGTCTTGAGGCGAAACTTCTTTCAGTGGAAAGCATCAACTTGAAGAATTCATCGTGGGTCAAAAGCAAGAAAACAACGCGAAGAAAACAAAGTACGATATAAACGTTTTATTCGAGTTTCCAGAGATTCTGGGAGAAGTTGGTTAAACCACAGGTAGCCCAAGTTCGATATATGAGAAGTTCAATTTTTTGTTGACCTCTTTCAAAATTTTGAAAGAGAGAGCAAACGGTGGAACTATAACTCGATGGAAACGCAACAAATCCGCTAGAAAACCAAACAGAACGCGAAAGAACCACCGCTGAAGTTCAGGGAAGCAATTTTTATTAAAATTCAACAATAATTTTTCGCAATTTTCGGCTCTTTTACTCTCCCCAAACAAACCCCTGTAAATATGCAAATCACGCAAATTACGTGACAGTACAGACGTTAACAAAAAAATTGAGCTTCTCATATATCGAGCTTGGGCTACCTGTGGTTAAACCAGAGAAATCACAAACGTCCCTTGTGTACAGTAGGATAAATTGCGCTGCACTTTCTACATCAGTGTTGTTTGAAGAGACAAAACTGAGTAGGAACACAAGTTCATTACCGTACAGTTCATCAAGATAATAAAACTCGCTTGCTCCTATTTAATAGTGTAATTTCCACTACACAGCAAAGGCAGCAAAGTCAGTAAACCCAGGCACTGTTTGCGAGAGCCAACATCGTTGTCATTAATGTTCAGTTGTAGGTTCTCCATTGTTCAAGAGAATCCAAGAGGTCGACAAATAGCTTAAAACGACGCCGAAATTTTCTTGAGTCTTCAGACGAAGAAGATTTGTGAACAATTTCAGTAAAGCGTGAAGCGAACTTTTTTTACTCGCCAAGTTTTTGATGGTATTGACATATTTTTGACAGCGTTATGTCAACTTTTTGTTGGCTTTTTAGACAGGTTAGCCAATCCCGTTAGCCTGAATTGTAATTGTGGACTTATATTGAAAAACAAAAATGAGAAAACATCGTGTTTTTCGATGAATTGTGAATTTCTTGTTCGACGCGAAGAAACGAATGACAAGTTTTTATTGTAGAATCTTTTTGTAGTTATTCCGCGCGCGGCCGTCTGATGTTAGGTAATCGCGTCGTAGTTAGGTTCAAACAGAATTTTTAAAATTTTCAACACTAAGTGGTCATATGATAAAATGCTTATTGACCTGAGTATAGTCGCGCCGAAATCAGGACGGCGTTCAGTCCGTACGTCCTGACCTCGAGCCAAATATTTTCCCGTCCGGCCCTCCCACTCAGTCAATAAGTACATAGTATTATATGGACAGAAGTGTTTTAGCTGAAAACTAAACCTCTCGTAGAATCCATAAATCACTACATTCGGGAACCGAGTGGCGTATTTTCCGTACGTCACTCTTGCGAGTGGCGTATCGGCAAATGGCGTCACGATTGCCGTCTTGAATGAACTTGGTTTGTTGTTCGGAATAACGGCGGCCGCTGGTAAATTTGTTTTGTTGAGCGACAGCGAGGTAGTATTGTGTTTTCCGAACAAATGAGAACGAGAAAACCGAGAACAACGAAAAACGATGTAATAGGTTTTCAGGAAATTTCTCGAAACGTGACAAAAAAAAAATCAGAGATTGAGGACATTACGCCGGCGAAACGGCCAGTGATTTGGAAGGACTTCGTACTTTGTGTGCGAAACTGAAAAAAGGATAAGAATACAAGCTCTCATTCACCACAACCTTTATCCAAAGCATCGACCGTTATCTGCAAGAAAGTAACTATGGATTCTATGCAATTTTGATTACCTAAAACTAGGTCCGATTTTGTTTTGCTTGATTGTACCGACTATCATGATGTTGTAGTGTGCTGATTGCAGAAACCGAGTATTTGCAAACATGCATGTAGTTCCATCAGGCTGTCCATAAAATAACAAGACGATCTAAGATCGTAAGTCGGGCTGTAGCTAGACGTGCTTCTAGCTACGAGTGTTGATAATTTGCGGTGCGCAGCGATTCTAAAAATAGCATGTACAGATACATGTCTCAAAGAAATATCATTAAACCGTAATCATCTCGAAAACATTGCTTATTTTAACTGACCGATCTGAGTTTATAATAATACTGTCGCCGAGTGAGTGTTTATAATAGCCTGGAAACACTGTAATAAGCTCGCAATGGATGGCACTTCTAATAGTACACATGCACCTGGGGGTTGGCTTCTACCATATTCGTCTCTTGCATATCTTATAACTTCCATTATCAGTATGATAGATACTGACACCAGTACATTCTATTGTCAGAGTAAATGAAGAATAGTTTTGCGACAAGAGTGATTTAAAGGCCCTGTCTTTAGACATAATGTACTGATATCCCTCAATTATCGAATCACAATGATGTAGATTACCAGTGCAGCTTTCACTGTAATTAATTAAGCTGGTAAATTATTTTTCTCAGACATAGCGATCTCCAATCATTGACGATAATTCTGTTTGTATTGAATACGCCTGCCCTGAACATTGCGACAGTGCTGAATACAATAATTGATTACCATATCCATATTTTGTACCAGGTCATTACAGCTATGTATTCCCTTTATCTCATTATAAATCAAAGCGCTCAAACTCATAGCAACACATTGTTTTCCAGCATCTTCACCAAAGTACATAATATCACCTTGAACATGTGGTGCCTAATAAACAATTAAATTATGAGCTCGAGATTTCTATGAGGTGATAGTTGATGAGGCCGAAGGCCTCATCAACTATCGCCTCATAGAAATCGAGAGCAAATAATCTAATTGTTTTAGTTGAATTCTAACTTAAATTAACGCAAATAAGGATTTCCAAATATTTTTCGACGCATTATTGAAGTTTACGCTTTAACAAAATCGCACGTACTGAATTGTCCTTGGTAAATTTGCAGTTGTTTACGCGCGCGCACCGGTTTTTCAATAATTTCGAGGTTTTTAAGTCAATAATCCGTTTATCTCCTTCTTTTAGTCTTCTCAGGAGTTTAATTATCCATTTACATCTAAACTTTCTTCCACAACTACGGAAAAACGATAAAAACGTCGCACTTCGTGGACGACCGACAGCTACTGCATTCTAATGGCTGATAGTATACGAGTAGCTCAGCCAATCAGATTGCAGGATTTGCATTAGTATACTAGTAGAATTGTACTAATGATTGTTAGAGTAGGATCAATACTATGAAGAGGATTTGTTTCAATGTCACTACACAGAGTAACACAATGACCTATGTGGCTCTCGTTCTTGTACACACTCGATGATGTGTTACAGCTATACATATACAAAGACAGATATTTGCCCAAAGCCTCTCTGCAACTCGGCGATTTTGGATTCAGTGTTGACCGTGTAGAATGCCATTTCTTTCTCATCTTTTTACAAACTTGATACTGTCATTATTGCTCCTAATTGACGCGATCAAAACTAAAAATCGTAACCATTTAATAAATAAAGTCAAGAATCTGGGATATGCTAGACGATTGATAGATAAACCACCTCGCCAAGAGATCAGACTTCTGCAGTTTTTCATTCGCGCGTTATCCGGAAAAAAAATTTATTGAGCTTTGGCGGCCGTAAAGTAACAGAAACATCTGTCTTTGAATTTTGCAATTGAAACGAAAAGTTATTACTCCAGAGTTTCGACACGTTGAAATTGATACTTCTTCTAGTGCAAGAATATTCCAGTTAGCAAGAACTAAAGCGATAACTCATCCTCTGACCTACACGGCAGCCCTCTCAGGCCGCCATCAAATGTCACGCAACGCAAAAGCTTGGAAAATCAAACGAGCCCTATTACAAAACGAAGAATCATGTCGGGCTAAAACGTTGTGAAACGTCGAGTTCCTAAAGGGTCTTATATCTGATAAAACTAAAACCTCCGAAGAAAAGGTAATTTTTTAAAAAAATATGACTGCATCGCATGAAAACCAAGAATACATCAGCACGTTATTTGATATCACACAAACACTCCTGCACAACGTGAGAATAAAATATTCACACGTAAGCAACAAAACTAATGGAAAAATAACAGCTGATAATGCACTCTGTGTGAGCCAAAACAAAATAAATGTCATAATCATGACAGAGGTCACATAAATATGACAATTACGTTTCTCTTCACTCTGATGAAAGCCACTTTTGCAGTCAAAATTGGCATCTTTATTGTAGTTTCCTGAGTTTCATCACGATACACCTTGTCTTTATCAGCACTTAAAACTTTCGTAAATTGTGAAGTAACACTCTGTCCACATTTTCTGTTCATTGATAACTCATGTAAGTCATCTGATTTCTGGTTCAGTTGGTTCTAGTAAGACCTTGACTAAATCATTCGATTCTCTCGCTATTTTGAGTTCGCGGAACGACCCGTTCCGAAATATACCCTCATTGACTACGCCATCTTTTAGGGTGGATCTGCCGCGAACGGTGAGCGGGTCTGCATGTTTGAACGTAGAAAAGATGGCACCATTACATTCGACATAAATCTTTACCTTCCGGCATCGACTCCGACATCGTGAAAAGAAAGTTGAGCCTTTACGACGAGTCTGCGGTATTGCCCATTGCACGTGACTGAGCTCTGATACGAAATACGAAGGTAAACCTATATTCGGTTCACCCGACTGAAAAGAACATTTCTAGTTAACTCGAAGATATGAATTTTATGTTCTCGTGGCGGGAGCAATATCTCACTCGTTCGCTGCGTTCACTCGTGATATATTGTTCTTGCCACTCGAACATAAAGTTCACATGTTCTCCCCAAAGTGTAATATCCTCAATGTATTTTACTGTACGTTGCCCTGTACATTACATGTAATACGACAAACGACAGTCTGGTTTGCGGACGGCAATCTACATTTTATACTGTCCGATTTGTACATTAATTTCGTACAAAGCTTGTATAGGAAGCGGCCTTTTCTTCAATCATCTGTTTAGTTGAGGTTTCTCTGTAGGGCTGGAAATAACAGTCGGTCATCGGACATTGTCCGACCAAATTTTGAATATGTCCGGCCAATTTCAC